GAGAAACATTTAATTAAATTAATTAAAAATTAATATTAAAATGCCCCTTCCTCCCCCTCCCCCCCCAGATCACACATTTACACAACACACACAATACATACACTAACACAACACACACACTGCATACACTAACAACACACACACTGCATACACTAACACACAACACACACACTGCATACACTAACAACACACACACTGCATACACTAACAACACACACACTGCATACACTAACACAACACACACTGCATACACTAACACACAACACACACACTGCATACACTAACAACACACACACTGCATACACTAACACACAACACACACACTGCATACACTAACACACAACACACACACTCAATACACTAACACAACACACACACACTGCATACACTAACACACAACACACACACTGCATACACTAACACAACACACACACACACTGCATACACTAACACAACACACACTCTGCATTCACTACACATTAACACACTCTGCATTCACTACACTAACACACACACACTCTGCATCCACTACACACTAACACAATCTCTGCATTCACTACACTAACACACTCTCTGCATTCACTACACTAACACACACTCTGCATCCGCTACACACTAACACACTCTCTGCATCCGCTACACACTAACACACTCTGCATTCACTACACTAACACACACTCTGCATTCACTACACATTAACACACACTCTGCATTCACTACAAATTTACACACACTCTGCATTCACTACAAATTTACACACACTCTGCATTCACTGCACTAACACACACACTACATTCATTACACTGACACACTCTGCATTCACTACACACTAACACACACTCTGCATTCACTAAACTATGCATACACTATGGATTCACTATACTGACACACAATCACGCATTCACTACACTAACATCCTGTATTCACAGTACACACACTACATCCACCACACATTGAAACACTCTGCATTCACTATACACAGACACTGCGTCTAATGCACGCACTACATCCACTAAACACATTTCATCTAGTACATACAAACACTACATCCACTACACAAACACACACTACATCACTGTACACACACTATATCCACTACTCAAACACACTCTGCGTTCACTATACACACTGCATCCGCTACACAAACACACACTCTGCATTCACTGTACAAACAGTATCTAATACACACAAACACTACATCCATTACACATATTCTAATTCACTTCCACTATACACACCACATTCAGTCCTGCATCATTGTCAGCGGACCAGGTAGGGCGTGTGCGGGCCCGGGAGGGAGGGAGGGGGGGCCGGGCCCAAACCTGGTGCTTTGTCAGGGGCCCCAACATTTCTGATGGCGGCCCTGCAAGGAGGTGTGATAAGGGTGTGCCCAGGCACACCCGGCACACCCCGTGCACACACCTATGACTGCAGTGCCTTCCACTAATATATACACAGCCACAAGTATCTGACAGATGAAATAATGTTTACAGGCACAATGAATGAAGAAGTCTCTGCACAAAGGAGCTTACAACCTATGAAGAATTGGGAATAAAGAAAGATGAGGAAGAACATGCCGGAGTCAAGAAGAGGCTGATGGATAAGGTCCCTGTGTCTGGGAGTGCTTTTAACTGAGGTGAGTGGCAGAGAATAAAATGTGCAACCAGGCCCTCTGTGTTCCGCCTGTCACAGGGGGACCATGAGCTGGATGGCTTGCAGCCTATGCGGTAAGGCAGGTGCCTTCTCTGTTAGACATGTGCAATTTGTTTTGTTCCGAATGTAAATTCACCCGAATTTTGGAAGTGCCGAATTACCGAAGTGCTTTGGATTTCTGAAAAGTGGCAAAACAGGAGAGGGAGGGAAAATTATGTGAATAATGACAGGAATCTAACCCTAACCCTTAACTGGACCCCTAACCCTAGACGTGCAAGTGGTTGTGGTGGTTAGGGTTAGGGGTAGGTGTGATGAAAGCAACTTTGACACTGGTTTTTAGAGAGGACTAATGGCCAGCCTCTTGCCCTGTGACTATGGCCCCTGTGATAAACCTAGCTGGAATGCTTTAGACAGGCCCTGTTCATGTGAGTTATGTACTTTTGTACTCCGACCGTTAGCCCTGATTCTATGGAACGGTTTTGGGCATGTGGCCATGCTTGCGGTCGGTCAAAACTATGACTTCCAGGAAATTCCTGAACCGATCTGGGTGATTTTTGGATATGTTGTTCACCCAGATCAGAGCTATCCAGGGATGTGACTTTATGGGGATATGTGGTGTTTTCCAGTATTTGTAAAAATGTATGTTTGTTTTGTTTTTGTTCTGCTTAGAGTTAATTGAGTTAGCCCATTGTCTTTATATTAAAAAAAAAAAAAAAAAAAGTATCACAGGCAGAGGGGGAGGGATTGTGTACACTGTATGGGAGTGTCTGAAGGTAAACCTCTGTTTTTACTGGTTTGTATTTGGTGCCCTACTAGGTCCACCTGGGCGTCAACCTTTTCGGGAAAACTGTATAAAAACTAAAGCTGTTCAATAAACCTGCAGACCTTCTTACCCTCAACTCGCAGCCTCGTCTCGTGTTGTAGGGAACTGCTATAATCACACTGGATTGCTATACTCTGTATACTCCCCTGGGTTCTAATCACTAGCTCTTCTAAGAGCTTGTTCCTGCTTCACTCTCTATAGGAAGAGAGGTTCACCCACTGGAGCCTGGAGACTTGTCGTAGGTCCAGAGTGGGTAGGAGACAGCGAGACCCTAACCAAACTGCGGCAGTTTGTGAGGTCTGCAGTGCTTATGGTGTCTGGTGCGGTGCTGATGGTCCTTGGTAAGCACTAGGAGCATCGATTGACGGAGGGTCCGTCACAGTAGGGTTAGGGGTAGAAGTGCTGAACCGAAACAAAATATTTGCCTATGCACATGCCTATTCTCTGTCCAAATGTATCATGTCCAGGGGGAGGCTTTACATGGGTGATAATAGCGCTCTGATCTTTGTACTCTTCCAGCATTGCTCCCTTGCACGCCCTGTGATGAAGCCGGTATGACGTCATTACTGTCAATTTAGAACTAGGAAAAAAAAATAAAGAAACCACTCCGTCCTAGAAGATCTTAATCCTTACAAGATCTTTCCCCGTTGCATTCCCTGCAAGCTGGAACACCAGACACAGGGGTTAAATCTTCCTTCCCGTAACCAGACAGTTCTGGAGGTTAAAAAACACTGACCCTCTTTATTTGGAACACACAGCTTTCATGCTCAGACCCCAGCAAAGGATCTTCATTCAGTACAGCACAATCCCAGGAAGGCTGGGGTTGGGTTACAGACAGCCATATACCGGTCTGGGAGCTATATCAACAATACACAGGGACAAGAGGGGTGAGGGGGAGTAAGCTTTGAGGCTCAGCCCCCCGGAACATACAGCACTAGATAACCCCCAGCTGCCATCTGGGATCCCTTTAAATAGCAGGGGTTATAGAGCTATCAGCTCGAGGCTCTGTACATCCCTGAAATTAGGACCATGGAGTTGCTTGGTTTAGTCCGGTGAATGCAAACTTCACACCTAAACCAAGCAGCAGCCAATCTGCTTTAAGGGCGCAATCCAAATCATGCTAATCAGCCTTTGGGGAGGAGATGAGTTTCACCACCCAATCATGAGAAAGGGTGCGAAAACACCATTTGAACAGGCGCTCCTTCTGTGATTGGTTGCTGTGGGATACAGGTGACCAATCAGCGCTTACCAACCAGGAGAATTGTGCTAACCCAGTTTGCATGGGTGCTCCTTCTCCCATTGGTTGGCCCAGACTTCCATGCAGCCAGTGGGACTCTGCAGCTGTGAGACCGACTCACAGCTCTAGAGATTCTCTGCTGGCGCGTGTCACTCTCTGGTGGATATCACCACGCAGGTATCCACTGGAAAGAGTGCTCTTCTGGGCAGCCATGAGCCTAGCCTCATAGCTCCCAGGTTAGAGGGGGTGTGAAAAGTGACTATAGCTCAGTTGGGAGCTGGTAGGACTGTCCCTGACATTGGGACCAGAGACAGTGTGCATATGCCGGTTCATGATATGAATGCTGCCCCGGTTGGCATTTGGTTATACAGACTAGCAGAAACCTGGAGGGGCGGGGTGGGTAATGGGAGCGGGAAGAGCACTCTCTGCTTGTTTCCCTTGTAATCTGCAGTTTTCACACCTTGTTGTGAAAGTGAGTGTTCTAAATGAGGTGTCCCGCAGGCATCCATGGTCTACAATCTACCCAGGAGGCGATTTGTTTTTGGTGAGAAATTCAAATCTGATTACAAGTAATTAACTTAAAATAAAGACCAAAACAGGAGAAGCTGGTAGGCATTTTTACCATAGCCCTACACCCCTCTCCTCAAAACAAATTTTTGGCCCATAATGGAGGCCTCAAGTATGCTTCAACAGCTTGTTTGGAACTATTCAGAACTCCACCATAGATAGCAAGAGATTAAGAAAATTAAGCATTAAAACTATTTCACACAAACCACTGTAATTGTGACCCATGTTAAACAGGTCGATGTCTATAAAAACAGTTATCTAGAACACAAGATCAGCTTTCTTTTCTACAAATCTCATCTGGCATGCAGCTATGAGGAATAGGAACAGGTCAACACCCAACAAGCAGTAGAAAAGGCTCAAGGACACAAGAACTAAGGATGGAGAATAGCTTCCCCTCCACTATCTTTGATTATTGCAAGGAAAATGATTTTATGGAGAGCCCCCAATCTGAAGTTAGTAAGAAGCCACATGGATAAATTAAACTATCCCCCTCTGAACCCTCCCCCCCAACTTTAAAGAAAAATATAAGTTATTTTTGCATGCAACCAATGTATTGCTTTAGGCACAGTAATAGGGAAATGTTTCCAACATTTAGTACTAATGTTATACATATTGCAAGATGTTGGAAGGCCAAAGAAAGTTGTGCATTGTGATAAAATCCAATTAACTAATTAAGAATGATTGATTGATCACTAATGAGCAAATTAATCTATAATAGATGTTAAGATGGCACTTGGCTTAAACTGTGTCGCACTAAGAAATTCAACTTGTGTCGCACTAAGAAATTCAGTTATGATGACATTGCATAAAATGCTTAAACTGTGTCGCACTAAGAAATTCAACATTGCCTGGAATATTCCATAGCATGTCTGGCCAATATCCAAAAAGGCCTACTGCTGAACAGAGGGAATTGGTGCCAACAAATGTATGGAGAGATAAGAGTAGGGACATAGATAGATAAGATACCGCATGTATCTGGCATGAGCCTTGGGTGGTCACGACTGGCCTGATCAACCATACTGATGACCTAGTGCGCATGACAAGATACATGCTGGGCTGCACTGATAAGAAATCTTGGAAAAGTTACAAACTTGCTAAAAAGGTATAAAAGACGGAGAAACTTGGCACTCACTGGGAGAACTACCCACCTGTAATGCGGACGCGTGTTGCTGGTCTCTGCTGTTCCCAGAAAGGGTCCCTCCAAGCTGACTGCCAGAGTTCCCCCAGTCACGTGCAGTGAGGATACAACCAAGCCCCTCTAATGGTGATGTATACTTAAGCTGATATATCTAGATACTAAGCTGTTTTGAAGTGAATGCATGCAACTACTTAATGAGAGTTAAGCTTACTCTGTATTGGTCCCCTTGTGGACAATAAAGTGTGGTGTGAATTCTTATCTGCAACTTGGTCTCTGTGTGGTTTCTTTTTCCTATAGCCCAAGACACTCATCTCGAACTGGGTTGTGTGCCCGCCAATATCGTTATAAACCTTATTAGGTAATTGATTATTGCTTTTTGGATATTGGTGCTTCATGAATTTAATGATTAGGCACAACATGCATCCAAAAAAACCACAAAGCAATATATCTAAGAGATTCCTACAACACTGTCAGCCAATTCTTCACATACTCACGCTAGTTTACTACAGTTGAGGGCATCTCTCAAATCCTGATAAACTTGAGATGGGTGACCATATAAATGAATTGGTAAAACAAGAAATTTGGTATACTTGTAAGATTACATCTGACCTTCCAGAATAATTTGAGAGTAAGACATCTCATGATTACAGATTGTGTGGTGCTGGGTCCATGTCAATAGGCTGTCCCACCATAACCACTTCTTAAAGACCCATCCACCTCCATTACAGCTTCAGCCATACTCCCTCAATAATACCCTCTCCAGAGCCCAACCCCGTATCTACCAGACACAGAAACCCAAATAATACCGCAGCACTAGATCTCCAAGTCATCTATCTATAGATCAAAGAGCTACATTCCTTTCCAGTATAGCCATCTTGTATAAAATAGACAGGATTATTTACTAAATTGAGCATTCAAAATCTTAGTGGCTTAATTAATTTGTCCTGACCTTAAATTTGAAAGCCACTTTGAAGTCAACAACATTGTCAGCTTTATTAACTGTACGAGTCATGTCATGATAACCAGAGTAAAATGGGGTCTCTATAGGGAGGATGGAAGCCATGTAAATAGAGTATAGTAGTATTTATGAAGGACCAGGCAGTGTCCTACAGCTTCATTCAGGTTACAGACCCAGTCGGTGTCAGGAGAGAACATGGGTATTATTGCCCAAACGGCACAGTTTCCTTCACTATTCTGTAGACTCCAGTTTAGTAAATAAACTGCTTTAAGGATACACAGTATTTCACAGGAAGATATCAGACACCCTGACTTAAGAAATGACAAAAAGTTGTCGATTTCAGAACTTTATTGATTCATTAGACAAGGTTATCACACACAGATCCACGATTAGCAGGAACCCCATATACCTCAACCTCGCACAGAGTCAGATGCTGCTTGCGATTAGTGAGTATAATGGTGACATACTGTCCCTCTAGTCCGTCACAGCAAATTTTCACTGAGGGAATGTCACTAGCAGGTATTTTGCCGCATCTGTTGGAGACAAAGAAGAATGTCAAACAAAAATGGTTTCTGGAGGAACATTGTATAAACTACGAAGAGCTTTGTCCTCTAAGATTAGATTAAAATGCCACCACAGGCAAAAATGCAGTGTTATTAAATCCAAATGGTAGAAAGATCCAGTTTTTAAGTAAAGCAGAGTTGGAGAATATGCCAAGATAAACTTTAATTTTCCCATTTGGATTTCAGTTAATAACCCTGACATGCCAGGATTACAAATCCAGAGGTTTTGAGAAAAATCTCACAGAATAGCACCCTATGGTGTCAGATCTGTGGAGGGGCTAAGATATTGTACACATTGACCCCCAGTTTTGTATTCCACCCCAGGACCAAGAGAACCTTACGACGACAGGAAGCAGGATTGGAACATTTACTAAACAGTGAAATTACGAGCAATGTTAAGTAAACGCAAAGCAATTTCCAAATTTAAGACTGAAGTAACCGAGAGCATGAAGCAAAACGAGCAGGTTTAGAGAATTCCCAGTTTTGGATTAAAGTTTGAATTGACATTTCAATTCAGTTTAGTGAATAACCCGGACAGAATGAGGAAGAACTGGAGTAGCTTATCAATATAATTAACCTTCCACCAGTGATAGGACAACGTTACCAGTTCATCTATTTCAGCCTAGAATTTACTGAACCCACATGAATTCCCAGACATTTCATGGTGTGGCAAATTCTGTCCAAACTACTCACAAAATGTTTTTTTTGTAGTCGTCAGAGTCTCCTACATAGATCTCTGCTCCATATAGCCGCTCTCTGCAGCAGTCTTTCCGGTTAAGCACAAAAACAGCGCTGATTTTATAGCTTTCTGTCAGGTTGAGCCTCCACCAGGGCGAATAGTCCAGATCTGTGTGCGTGCAGGATCTAGATTCGTAGTTTGCGTCCATATTCCCGTCCACGGCAAGTCGGGGTCTCCCACCTGAAAATACCGAGCTCTGGCAGACTGGATGATTTAGTGCCACGTTCCGCTCTGAAAACCATAAATATGAAATAAGGGGATTTCATTCTAAAAGCTACAGAAAGTGAAACATCCACAGATAGTGTAGTTAGAACATTGCATAACCAAGTCTAAAATTAGGGCGAATGTAGGACCAACTAGGCATAGGATAAGGCCTTCCGCAGCAAACTATACCTGCCCCATGCATTAGGGGGCAATTAATGAAGTCCATTCATTGCAAATACAAGGCCTGTAAATGAGGAATGTGAGCGAAAGATACTATAGTCCCATTCACCCAGAGAGCCTTACAGCAACCCAGCCAGACGAGAACAGATCAGTTTACCATTTAGCAGCGGAACACAGGCAAATGCAAATTCATAGGAGCAGAATACAGAGAGAAGCAGGATCCAGGGCATCCTCCAGAGGGCAGTAGCAGCTGTAATCAGGAAGAAGAAAGAAAGACAGTTATTCTCTAAGCATCCTGACTGCCGCGATAACCTAGTACAGGGGTAGGCAAACATCCGCACTACATTCTCCGCAATGCAGAGCCCCAGTGGAGATGTTCTCCATAACACCTGGAGTGCTGAAGGTTACCTTCCCCCAATCATAGTGCTGACCTCCCATATGGACAGCGGGTAGCTTTAATGTTACGGGGTGTGGCCAGGCCTGTGAAGTACTAATAACCATTTATAGAACTAAAATGTACACTAACAATATGGAGCTCATAGAAAGAGGGACTGTCCCTCCTAAATAGGGACACTTGGGAGGTATGCAATAGGGTGTCAGTCACCAAATGTTGGAATATACAGACACTCTAGACCCCTAAAGCACGCACAGTGCATGTCCACTGTATTTTTATAGAGACTGTAGGAGGTCAATAGAAACTAAAGTCTGTAGCTTTTTAGATATAGCCCCACTGGGGGAATACACATTTCCTTGGAGTAAATATGTAAGATTTAGGATTTGTGTTCTTTATGCCTCCCTTCTACCATAACAACTTCTAACATCATTAACCCTCCTGCATGCACTCCCTAATACAGACAGGAATACACACTTACATACACTGAGACATATACAGCAGTCTAATCTGAACACAATTTAAACCCAGCCCAGGTTTAGGCCACACATAACATTAACTAGCTATATAGACAATGTTTTACACACAATACTCACAGCCAAACTGACAGACACTATTCTCCATTGTCATCAAAGGAATCTGAGTAAAGGAAGCGGATCAGTCTCCTTTTATTAGCGAAAGCTGCCAACAAACTCTGGCTGTGGACTACACGGAGACCCCCCAACAATGCTGGTGGTGGGGCTTATTCACTAAATTGTGAATTGCAGTGATACAATGTAGCTGCAATGTTTGGGCCAAAATAGATACATTCAGACTATTTAAATTATCTCAGAGCAGCATTTGAATCCTACCTACTGTAAGCCACCACATCTAAACATTACTGAACTGTGAATTGAAATCTGAATGACAAACTAGAATGAATTAGTTAAACTGGAAATGAGCTGAATTGGAGAATATTTCCAATTCAGCTATTATGAAATGCATTTTAAAGTTACATTATTACTGGTTTATTAATCAATACAGGAGATCAGACGCCCCCTACAGACTGGGTGGGATATTACTGGGAGGGAAGCACAATCCAGGTAGGGGAGAGGGTGAGGTAAACCATATTTTCAGGATATCCCTGCATTGACTGCAGGCTGTCAATTAAGAATCACCTACTGGTAATTAAAAAGGGTAACTTTGAAATCTCTCCCACCCCGTGAGCATTTTATTGGTAGTAATTCGGCATTAATGAGTAGGAATGCTGGGCTTATTTACTAAACAATGAATCGGTGGGAATTGCAAACTAATCACACAGCAGATCTGCCGCTTTTACAAGCAAGTTTTTCTTATAGAACAAGATCCGTTTTTTGGGGGTATATCTGCTAAATTGAACACTGATTGTTCAAGGGAGAGGTTAGTTTAACCCTTATATAAAAAAATTAAGGAAATGACATCATAATCCAGTTCAGACAAGGCACAACCAGGGCACACAATGCAAATAGAAACACATAGGTTATGTATGAAAAGTTGTTGGCTTCAGTAATCAGAATGTGGGTTTTTTTGGAACTTTTTCATATTTACTTCTGATAATTCCGTAAAAAGTGTCAGAAAGAAACGTCACTGATACATAAAGGTAGAGAAGTTTTTTTATACAATAGGAAAATGGTGAATTCACACAAAACTGGTGCAAACAGGATTCATTCCTTAAAGGACCACTATAGGCACCCAGACCACTTCAGCTTAATGAAGTGGTCTGGTTGCCAGGTCTCTCTAGGATTAACCCTTTTTTCTATAAACATAGCAGTTTCAGAGAAATTGCTATGTTTATAATAGGGTTAATCAATCCTCTAGTGGCTGTCTCATTGACAGCCGCTAGAGGCGATTGCGTGCTTCTCACTGTGAAAATCACAGTGAGAAGACGCCAGCGTCCATAGGAAAGCATTATGAATTATGAATGCTTTCCTATGAGACTGGATGAACGCGCGCGCAGCTCCTGAGGGTGGGGGCACTATAGTGCCAGGAAAACGAGTATGTTTTATGTCTCAAGGGTACACACATCTAAAATGTATCCAAAACAACTGTATCAATAAAATCAAATACAGTATCAAACCATCAGAGTTCCTGACTACAACAATAAAATATTGAACTTGCAAAGAAAACACACAATATTCCAAGAACGTGTCTGTATGTAGGATCCAAATATGGGGAGTCCACAATAATAATGAAGGCACACACTTGCGCTGGAATTCCCATGAAGCAAAAAAGACAGAAAAAATATATATAGTGTAATTCTGTGTTTTTAATGTCCCAGTACAAAAGGGTTCCTATTTTGGGGAGGGGGGATTCCCTTTTGTACTGGGACATTAAAAACACAGAATTACTCTGATGTTTTGATACTGTATTTGATTTTATTGATACAGTTGTTTTGGATACATTTTAGATGTGTGTACCCTTGTAAAATGTCAAGGGGATTATCTCCTAAACGCTGACAACGTATTTTAACACTTAAGTATAGGATTTGGGAAATTCTTTTTGTTCCAGCTGCTAAAACTTAAAGGGTATTTTGAGTTCCACTTTGTATAGCCATATATTTATAATTCTTTGCGCTCCCTTTCTTCATTTTTTATTATGTTTTATGTCTCCTCTTCTCTGATGACTGTCAGATATTAAGAACAGAACTTCTAACGATGATTGACGCGCTCAGTTACAGGTTAAATATGGGAGTTGTTACATTTCATTTATATACCAATACACACAGATATTAAGGCAAAATAGCTGAAATAGGACATTTTCCATTCCAGCTCTTTGTCATCCCTGCCCATGAGTGCTTTGTGACGGTAGTCACCATCACGGGGGGCTGAAGACGGACACTTTATGGAGGTTCCCAGATTACTCCTATGTTTTAGTCACTCTGTGCCCATTATAGGTACAGGCTGTGTAATGTTAGTTACTCTCCTTCCCCCCCCCCCCTTTCCTTGTTGTTTTCCCAGAAGGACGTTATCCCATTGTTCCAGAGACCCCTTTTATCTGTTGTATATTATTAAATGTGTTTTAGGAGATTTCTTTTACTATGGGAAATTAGTGAGTCTGTGTGTATAAACAGAAGGGAAATACGTTTATAATACAATAGCTATTGTGCAATTGGTCTTGGTATCAGACAGGTAATTCAGTTATGGACTCTTGACCTAATTATGTCCTAGACACCAATGAGTGACTTGTATTGTTTTGTGTTATGACCCCCTGTTGTGATTACTCCTATATAAACCCGTGGTTCACTGAATGAAGGCTGTTCTACTTCACCCTTCACTAAGTGATGTGGATATCAATCAATAAATTGATTATCTTGCGTATCTGCCTCTGGCCAAATTAAAGAAGTAATGCGTGCACGCTCCTGAAGTAATTCACACCAGACACAAGTTTTGGGTTAATGAAAAACTTGAGGAATGTTTATTCTGAGGGGACGGCAAAATTACATCATAAGCATTGTCAGAGAAAACATCAAATAATACATCAATAATTGGTTAGGTGTTAAGTGGTTTGTTTACTGCTCTTCCTACTGGGTGTGATGTCACTGGTATCTTGGAGGCCTCCCCCAGATTCCAGCGCCATCTTGTTAATGAGGGTGTTAGTCGATGTTAAGAAGGAAACTCCCTAGCGGCCATTTTAGGTAAATCACATAGAAAGTTGGATAATGCTGATTGTAGTTATGCTGAGTAAATAGGCATTTCACTAACATAAATTGGGTTAATATTTTTGTCCACAACAGTCCCCCCTTAAAATGACTATTTATGAATAGAAGGAAGGAAAAGACAGCCAACTACTGGCTAACCCTAATAATGTCCCTAATTGGCTGCAGCTCACCTGTCTGAACAGGCCTCGAACACTTCACTGCGCAGGTATCCCGCAGCAGCTAACCCACTACATCTCCTGCGTCAGACTTCTACCCGTAGAGACAGACGCTATCCCTATACTGTCCCTATATAGTAGCAGTAGTTGTCTGTTTGAAGTGGTGAGACTGAAGAGGTGTGTGAGGAGTGTCACAGTCCATGTCATCAGCATCTTGGTGTACGAATGTAGGTGTAGTGCGGTCAATGGTCTGATCTACGGTCTTCTGGAAGAGGAAGAAAATCATTACAGTAAGAAATGCCATACCTATTTGGAAAAGAGTCCTTTGCCATCCACTCATCCACCCAAACCATCTATCCCATGAGTTGGGGGCTCACAAATTTTTTTTTAATTCGTCAGAAAGATTTTCTAATTTCTCTATGGCCATGGTTACCTTACCATTAGGACCTGTATTGTCCGGAATAAAAGTACAGCATGTCATAGTATCAGGGAGTATCTTACATACGCCCTCCTTTTCTGCTAGAATCATGTCTAAGGCTATTCGATTCTGGAATATCATGAGGTTTGAATGTTGCATTCTTAATGATACATAATATAAATAAACACAAGACAACTTCTTTTATCCAATTTGTTTATTCAGTACTTCAATATTGTACCTTGGAGAATGGCCGTGAACCTTTATTACGGATTTCATAATTCCACTTTAAACATAAAACCATAATTTAAAACCAAACCGAAATATTAACCATTAAAACTTTCCACCATTAAAACTTTCCAACTTTCCAAGGCTCTGCCCCCCACCAAAGCCAGGAGCCATAAATTCCAAGGCTCCGCCCCCACCAAAGCCAGGAGCCATAAATATATATCATAAAACCAATTTTATAAGCCAAATCCACCCTCCTGTGATGCCCAGGAGGGTGACTTATATCCCAACGCCACTGAGGTTCTGGGATACCAAACTCGGTGGCCCCCCACCGCCCACGGCCATCTCCAACATAGATTGAACACTTACCTTAAATATATATCCACACCAACATCGGACAAATGAAACGCGCATTCCTATATAAACCTGCGCAACTGCCCTCAATAACTGTGTCTTTTAAAAAGACAACCGAAACTGCAAAAACTTTCTAACGCTCTATTTAAGCAGTTTGAATAGCCTTATTTTCATCCAGCATTGCCTTGGTATAATTTCCGACCAAATAAAATGAACATCTCAAATTTTTAATTTTTTTTTTTTTTTTGCCACAAAAACCATATCCTTCTTAATTACTTACCACAAATTGACCGATTCTATTGACCCAATGTTGTTTCCTCCCAGATGAACCACTATCACAACTGGTTAAGGAAAACCAAGGTAAATTGTTGCAATAACTCAAATAAATGTGACCATTTCACACCACGAATACCATTGCCAAAATATTTTAACCACTGTGCTTCCAAACCAAGTTTTCACCATATGTTCGCTCTTGCGCCCTCTTCCGGGCCCATACCATAAACGAATAACTAATGACCCAGACAAAAGCCGGCTTCTTAAGACCTAACAAAAGAAGAAATTATTAGTATATGTACTAATTTCCATAAAACCCATAACTTTCATAAATACCAAGTAACCATTTACCAATAGAATATTTTATTTATTTATCGAATGAAGCCTGACATATACTTGAAATTGTTTGAGTCTCGGCTTCCCAACGTTTGACTGATTCCATCACTTCAACCACACCTTGCCGCTTTGTTTGCAGCTCCAATTCTAAAAGAACAAGATGAGTAACACTCCTTGCCCAACCAAATGATATAATTTATTTATTTTTTATTTTTTTTTTAACCTTTATGAATTGAAATTAAGTTAAAGAATTAAATCAGCATGCATAAAATGGGCCCTTTACTCTTGGCCTTACTGATAACTGTTCTTCCGTCACTTTACAGGGCACAAAAGAAACTTTAATATTAAACAATGTCAACCATATGTCGTTTCCCTCTTGAACCGTTTAGGTTTTCTAATAGATATCAATACTCTTATTGTGCACCATAACATCCTCCAACAGCACACCCGATAAACAAAATTTACTCCTTGTATCAACTCACCAATCCTACAACTGAAAACTGATATAAACAGGCATCTAAATAACTAACTCAATGAAGAATAATATACGCCTTCAAAATCTTCCACTAACGGTGCCAAAACCGAAAATGTATTAGGTTTTCTATTATCCCTAACCTGACAAACTCTCCTACCACCTTTAACTAGCTGAACTATGAAATACTGTTTGATTGGTTTACCATCACACAGCTTCAGAAGAAATCCACCTTTGCTAAATCACTTGTAACTTTGATTTAGAAAAGCCCTTTCTGCATTACATGAACTATAAATTGCACTGCACTCTCCTTATCCTCTTCTAATGGAATTTTACCACTTACTTTTAAAATTCCCCGCTCATTCCATGCCCTTAACTTAAGAAAGCAAAACTGAAGCTGCCACTAAATTAATTATAAGAACACTTAACTGTCCCAAACTATACCCAAAGGTCTGATGAAAAATTGGATTCCTTTCGCTTCCCGAAACTTCTGTAATTTTAAACTTGATAGAGCATCAACCAGCCTTTTCATTTTCTTGGTATATGCCCGACTTTGCATTATTATTATTATTATTATTATTATTATTATTATTTTTTTTTTTTATTTTTTTTTATTAGGTATTGAATTGCAGATACCTTAAAACCCAAAATGCCTCAGCAAATTAACTACCCTTTTACACCAAAGACTGTAAGGAATTGAGTACCATCACTACACTCAAAGTATCACATAAATAGCAATCAATCGTCTACCTTCTTGTTGGCCATTCTAGAGAAAACCCCCCTGTCCTTCCCACTGTGTACCGAAAACAATGCACCTGCTACATCAGTTAACAGCTCCAAATTATTAAATCTGTGAACTCCTTCTGTCACATTGATCCCCCATTAACTTTACAATATTTTTATTTATTTATTTATTATTATTATTTTATTTTTTATTTTTTTTATACTTTAAGTCTTGTTTTAATTCTCTTGTTATTCCATTGTGAGCCGAGGGGGGGGGGAGGTTAATGTTTGCCTTTGTTATACCGATTTTCTTGGAAAAATGCTCTCCCCATTAGGATAACCCTTGATGCAAATACAACAAACCTAAGAGTGATTGTGTAGGATATGAATATCCATTTTGCTCTATATCCTAACTGTTCATGTAAGGGTTAATTTGAATCAAGAATAAATTTGGAATTGTATCTCATGTCACAATGACTTATCTATTTACGGGAGATGTTATTGGAACATGATTTTGTTATTTACATGACATGACATGATAAGGATTCTGGAATGACCTTGTTAATTGTCCAAGATTTCGGTATTTGTAATCATCTGGGTTTTATCCAATATGCATACATTATGTAACATCGAATTATAACTAAAAACAGATGTTTATAACTTGTGAAAAACAATGTCATTGTCACGCCCATATGCTCATTTTTCCCCCTCCCATCCTGCTATGAAAATGGGGTATAAATATAACTGACGTATGAATACAATTTGAATTGGTTATTGAACACGTCTCTGCTATTCATTTCCAATTTCCAGAGCTCTGTATGAGTTGGCAAATATCCATCATCCACAAAGGGCCCAGGCTGATTTTATCCCCAACAAACTGGTGTCAGAAGTGGGATAACTGTATGGAGGTTCCAACATGTATTAAAACATGATCACACACATCGGGATCTATAAAAGGTTTCGGTTTCCAAAGATGTTATCAGGGTCTAAAAATTTTATTAAAGTAATTAATTGAGATTATCAAATCAAGGTTTAAGTTTAAGAACAGCATTTTATTGGGAATTATACCAATATGTATATGTTAGTGTTTTAGTACTCAACAAGCATTTATATAGAATGAGTGCTTCTCTCATCCATACAAAGGCATTCTAAAAGGGAAATTATGTATTAAAATTTTATAAAGGACAAATTCAATGAATTATAAGCAAAACTAAGAGAAGTACATGTTACACTAGTTAAGAGTTTAACTTTAGTTTCTAATTTGAGTTTAGCCTAGATAATTAATTTATTGATGTCGTACTGATCCTTGTGTTTGTATGATTATAGAGACCGTACTGGAGTATTTGTGCCGCCTGATATTTGGGACTACACACCAATCTCTCTGGCTGACCTACCTTTTTTTGCAATTAAATCTGTTTGGTCAAAATCCATGCTGGCTGAAGAAACTGAGATGCTTACTTATGAGGACATAGACTAACTTGGAAAGTCCTGAAGATGCAGTGCTGTCTAATGCCGCTATTTCTGTATTACCCTTTCAACAATTGGGGTGTTGCACAGAGTATTGTGGTGAACATCCAGCAAACAGAAGAATTAAGAACTATGTGGAAGCTGACATTGTCTTGTTGTTGCCATATTGCTACACTTAGCTATGTTATGGTGTCTAAGATTATGGAACAAAGTTTATGGTGTCTAAGATTCTTTATACTCCTTGAAAGACTTATAATATTTTTCTGGACTATGCTGGACTATTGAACTATTTTGTTATTTTTATTTTTGTAGAGTTAGCCGGAGAGAGAGGAAGTGTTAGCTTACTCAGGCATGGATGTACTATGTGTGTCATTGATGTATGTTGAGTGTACCAAGGATGGATTCCCATGTATTAAGTGTGGATATGACTGGACTATCGAAATAGGGATTTGATTAGGAGGCATAGGACGCAAGGTCATGATTGGGATTATTGCTAGAATTGCAAACTGATTAGAAATGATTTTATGATTTAATATGTAAATGGGCCTTTTGAAACTAATCAAGAAGTGTTTCCCAATCCCGATACCTGAGCTATTTACTTACATAGTGCAGGTTTTATAAGTCACTAATGCTGTCAACGTGAGGGGATGACATGTTTACACAGTCATGGCCCTCACTTAGAATTTACCCAGATGTGCTTTTTTTCTCAATTATGAGTTTTTGCCACTGGGATTTTTGACCTGGCCCAAGTTCACTGGGTGGACTGGAAATCCAAGACCCTGGTCCAAAGAGGGGAAATAGATTTTATTCCCATTTTTGATTATATGTGTTTACGTTGTGAATTATAATAATAATATTCCCGTTGTTAGGAATAATACACTTTGCCTGTTTTGATCCAAGGCTCAAGTTACAGATAACATGATGTGCAGTATGTTTAAAATTGGTTAAGATGTCAGCTGTTTGAAATATTTAACTTGTACACTTAAAAGATGTGTACAACAGATGATTACAGAAGCTGAAAATCGACAGCTCGATCTCCTCTTAAAGGGAAAACCTACGGCATAGAGCAAATGGGGGAAATCGAGGTGAAGAAATAAGGAAAGTCCCGCAGACGTGATTAGCACGTCTGAATATACCTCCTTTCGTTTCTCTGCCGCAGGCCTCCCATGGATATTCCATAAGGTAGATCACGATATGATCTAAAGAGAGGAATTGTAGGATATGAATATCCATTTTGCTCTATATCCTAACTGTTCATGTAAGGGTTAATTTGAATCAAGAATAAATTTGGAATTGTATCTCATGTCACAATGACTTATCTATTTACGGGAGATGTTATTGGAACATGATTTTGTTATGTTCCTGGAAAAAAGATATTTGCATGACATGACATGACATGACATGACATGGCATGACACGACATGACATGACATGACATGATAAGGATTCTGGAATGACCTTGTTAATTGTCCAAGATTTCTGTATTTGTAATCATCTGGGTTTTATCCAATATGCATACATTATGTAACATCGAATTATAACTAAAAACAGCTGTTTATAACTTGTGAAAAACAATGTCATTGTCACGCCCATATGCTCATTTTCCCCCCTCCCATCCTGCTATGAAAATGGGGTATAAATATAACTGACGCATGAATACAATTTGAATTGGTTATTGAACACGTCTCTGCTATTCATTTCCAATTTCCAGAGCTCTGTATGAGTTGGCAAATATCCATCATCCACAAAGGGCCCAGGCTGATTTTATCCCCAACAGATTGCAGCACCTTAAAGTTACTTTTCCACAGCCCGTTACCTGTTTAATCAGCATCCTTATCTTCTTAATCCTTTCCTCCGGCAACCTAAATTCCATATTTCTTTTCTCTCTCTCTCTCTCTCTTTTTTTTTTTTTTTCAATCAGGAATTGTAGACAAGTAAATAATTGGATAAAATCTGCTGCTAAAAGAATACGTAAATTATAAGTCACCTTTTGAAAAATTTCTAACAGGCTCTTTCTTATAGTTGCCACTCTCTTTGGAGCCCACAATAAAATCATCAAATAGTGCACTATTTTTCTCTGACCAGGCTTGAATCGAACTATCCATTCAATAACATCACAAATAACTCAAAGTAAGAACATGCAAGCACACGAAAAACTGGTAAGCACCTGCCGAAAATACGACCTTCAAATTGAAAAATTTACGAATTAAATGACTCGGACTAAATTGGTCCGAGTTAAAAGCAGCTATAATATTGCCTCCTCCCACATTCTATTACCACATCTAAAACTTATCAAAAGTTGAATATGACACTGAACTATCCTCCTTTAGAATCACGTCATTTAAATATTCTCACTTAAAATATAAGTGGTGTATCAATCTGAATGACCCTGGCTCCTTCTTTGGAACTAAACCCGCGGAGATACTAAAACTTGCAAGGATGAACAGAGAAAGGACTTTCAATCCTGCCTAGCTTTAACTCTTTACAAATCTTTACCTACGCTATATATTTGGCAACTCTAAATTGATTTTTAACTTTAAATTATATACAGGTAACCGGAAACCAAAAATCTTCAAACTTTGTCTTCTCCAATTTTTAATACTATCTAGAAAATGCAGTAATCTTCGCAGCCTCATTGAGGTCTGAGCTTTAAAATGTACTGCTTTGCTGGCCTCTTATAAAACAACGAAAATTACTGTGAGCACATTCCTGACAGAATCTACATTTATTTAAACACTGAAATGCATCAAAAGCAAACCCGGGTTTTTTTTTTTTTTTTATAACTTATTTTTTATGTTATATTTGTACTAACCTGCCTGTTAGCATAAACTAGCTGTCTCTAAAGGAGCATAAACTAGCTGTCTCTAAAGGAGCATAAACTAGCTGTCTCTAAAGGAAGCATAGCCTTCTTTTTCATTCCATTTTTATGTTACTCTGAACGCTAATAATACTTTTTAAACAAAATTGTTAATCACCAAAATTCATCTATGCTTCTTTGTATGTTGAAATGACACTAGCATAGATTCAAAAGCCTTTGCAGTACATTGTTGACTTTCTTCCATAATCTATCTTTTATCGTATTTGCATATCTCCTAACTCTAATCTCTTCTCTCACAGACTGTCACTTTAAGGTTAACTATGACCACTTGTGTCCCTTGTTCCTATACGCTCACTAATCTAGGTTTTCATAATAATTTGATCATTTGTTTGTGAAAATACCATATCACCTAAAACAGCATTATTCACAGTTGTTGTGACTCTCCCATCTCATGACTGTGACCCATGACATCCTGGGCAGCTTCAATCACCTCAGTCAGCCTAGGTCTCCCCTCAGCCTCCATTTTCTTCTTCTTTTGTTCAAACTTTCTGCTGCTTTATTGGAGATAGTGAGACACTTTCTGGATCTCTTTGTTCTCTCTTCATGAATCCTGCAGGGGTCACTCTCACCAGACTTCTCTGTTTGCACTGGCCCCCTAATTGTTAGAGGATATGACCCTGTGTCCACCTCCATTACCAGCTCCATCCTGTAGCTCAGCACCTTCCTCCGCTCCCTCATTCAGACCTGAAGTACCAAGGGCTGACTCTAACAAGCTTGCAGCTGTATCTCCACAGCTTAAAGCTTCTTGTTTCAACTGTTCTAATAGAACTTCAACTGTGCCAGACATCTTCCAGGTAAGAGCAGCAGCTCAGTTATATTTAAAAACGGCCAACCTTGATAGTTGTCTGGCACAAGCTGAGGTAAATAATTTGGCGCCTTTAAATTTATACTCCTCATTTTCCCGCCACTGCTTATCTCGTGCTGCGATCTACCAATCAGGGCTCTTGCCCTGATCACGACCTTCCCGCTCTGCTAATAGCGCGTGCTGCCCTGCACCTAACCCTCACTGCGCTCTGCTGCTAACCTAAACTGACCAATACTTACCCAACAGCCTCTGCTCCATCAAACCTCATGCGGCTCGCTCCTTATGCAGTCCGCGTGCCCGACATTTGAGAGGTAGTCTGTAATTGTTCTGCTAAGCCCTGTAGGGCATCTCGAGTATAGTTGACAAATTGTTGCTGCTTATAGTAAATGTAATTGATCCAGTTAACATTTTATTAGCGGTGATGAGTGGGATCAAGGATGCGAATCCTGCCGCCACTTCATCTCTGGCTTTAAACTCATTCGGTACCCCCCTAGGTACTCCAATGGCATCTATATATACATGTGGGTCAAAACTACCTCGGATGGGGATATCTCTTTTTACTCTAAGATACGTATGTGATGAATCATACGGGCCTTGGTGATTGTCAGGGAAGATGTGTATGGGCATGATAACTTTAGTCAGGGCACACTCTCCCCACCATAAGCCAGTCATCTTTGATCTGAGTTGCATATCACCGCATAACCAATAAATATCTCCCACAGATTTAATGTGGTTTACTAACAAGGAAGTGGGAGGTTTCCAAAGAATGGCACAGTAACCAGCATGGGCGTCCGCAGGGGGGGGCACTTGCCCCCCCCCCCCTGGATTTTTCAGCTTGTTTTGATATTTTTCGTGTGATTGAAAATGAACTGCAATACCGGCGCCGGCCAGTCGGTGGCGCTGTGTATGGAGAGAGACAGGGATAGGAAGCTGCATCTTATCCCTGCTTCTCTCTGCTGATTGAAACCGCAAGGGAACAACACATGCAGCCAGAGACAGCCTACAGATCAGGTAAGTGGGGGGGTTTGAGATAGCCTATAGATTTTTTTGGGGGGGCAGCAGCCTTTAGATTTGGGGGCAGCAGCCCATAGATTTGGGGAGGGGGGCAGCAGCCCATAGATTTGGGGGGGGGCAGCAGCCTATAGATATATAGAAATGAACAGGAAGGGTCAGCAAGGAGCTGGAAGGTAAAGCAGCACAAAGGTAAAGTAGAAGGAGCAGAAAGGGTCAGAAATTAGCTGGAAGGGGCAGAAGGAGCACAAACATAAAGTAGGAGAATGAGCAGGAAGGGCCTGCAAGGAGCAGGAAGGAGCACAAAGGGACAGCAAGGAGCACAAAGGCAAAGGAGCAGAAAGAATCAGAAGGAGCACAAAGGTAAAGTAGGAGAAAGAGCAGAAAGGGACAGCAAGGAGCACAAAGGTAAAGTAGAAAAGGGAGC